AAAATATACAGTCATAGCATTACAAGAAGTATTTGAGATGAAAACTCACCAAAAAAAATAGGGATAGCATCTATGGAAGGAAAACTCTAAAAGTTTGTGGAGGAACTTGGTATTGGGAGAATTTTTTCAAGGGCCAAACTTGTTGGAAAAAAAACATAGAACACAAAGGATTTGAAATTAAAATCTTGGACAATCATTTCCTAGCCAATAAAACTCCATCACCTACATTCTGATACAAAGTAGCTTGAGCTGCTTATTTAACTGATGACAATTTGCCAGGATAGTCTACAAGCTTTATTTTGCCTGAATTTACAACTGTGAGTAATGGAAACAAGGAAAAATAATTACAAGGCTGGATGGCTGTGTGAAACTAAAAAAGTATTGGTGCCTCACTAAAAGGCACTAAATGTTCATTTGATCAACAACTACAACCACCCACCCACTCCAACAATGAAGACACAGAGCTCACTTTGGAAATTGTTTATGCCCTGGATGTAATCATCAAGGACCTACATAGACTATAATTGTGCAGCTTACAAGGCAACAACGAGAGCAAGTCCACAGTGACTGGGAGGGGGTTTGGGGGCAGAGCCACAGGTTAGGAATTCCCAGGAGTGCCTGGAGTAATAGTTTCATGCAGCCATCCAATCCTGCAATCATTATTCCTTCTTCCAATTATCAACACTATAATATGCATGAATTTCTTGTTATTTTTCATCACAAATTACATAAATGAAAATATTGCTGATGTTTACAAAGTGACCTTACCCCTCTGAGATTGAGTCCCTATCACTTCGGCCATTCCTGTGAAATCCACAAACATCACTGTATGAACCCAAAACCTTCCTAATCCAGGTCTTCGCCCCCATGACCCTCATCCAATCATTGTTTCCCTATCAGAGTCTTTGCCCCCAGAATCCCACTCAATCACCATTGACTTTTTTCCATCGCAAATTATCTAAATAAAAGTCTTGGTAATGTTTATGAAGTGACCTTATCCCTCTGAGATTAAGCCCTTTTACTCCTACCATGATTTCGGTTTAACGTCCCGAAACTCTCCTTTTGATCAATGGCTAGGACGGGCCTGCCCCGTGAAGGACAGCCAGGAATTGGCATTCCTGTTAAATCCATAGACATTGCTAACCCAAGGGCTTCACCCTTAGACCCCATCTGATCACCGTATTCCCCTATTTGGGTATCTGTTCCTGGACCCCACCCAACTGTGGCATTACGGCCTGCATGGCATGTGTTGCGACGTATTTTCTTAATTTTATACATTTTACGCCAACACAGATTTCATGTACTAGTGAGTATTTTCTCTCTGATTATTATAGTGCCATCATATTCTCCTGTAAATGTATACCAAAGTATTACATGTTGCACAACTTTTTTTATTATTAACTTGCTAAGGTAATACCACAGAAGTGTCTTGTTTTCAGCCATAATGTCCATTAAAGGTAAATTTTACCTTCTTCAGCTTGGTTAAAAACTATTCCCTATTTCCTTATACATTCCAAAATATGAGATACCAGTGTTGAATGCTACATGATAATAACATTACAGAAAGGCAGAGAGTATATCTGATAAATCTAGAGGATCTTCAAGAGCAGATCTTTCTGATACCAGCTGTTTTAACAAACTAAAAGAGCCAAAATGTGTATCTGGTGAGCTTCAGACTGAGAAACACTTGACTTGTTATATACAGCATTACCTTATTTAATAGTAAGGAAGCCTGTGTCAGGATTTACAGAGTCTGGTCCGGAGCTGCGTCATGCACTGACCAAGGGCGCTCGGCTCAGCTGACTCTGTTTACTCTTGGCCTCTTTGTGACGCCATCCGAACACGGGCGTCGCGCCGCGTCTGAATGCGTCGGTCGCGGTCGGTCTCGGGACCCACTTAGGGATAATTCTCAGTCTCGCTCAATGACTGTCTCAAACACCCTGACAAGCACATAGTGTGTGAAATAACCACTAAAACTAGTAAAAAGGGCGTACATTATCTTACAGACTGTGGTGAAGATGAAAATATCGTTAGCTTGCAAAATATAATCATTTATATTACTATATCCCCTATCCGTGGCAGGCCCAGAAAATCTTAACTGGGGCCTAAATGGTCTTACGCACACACACGCCATTATAAGATAATTCTATCACCTATGTCTCCATGTCCACATTTATTACAAGCAATAATGCCTCGCCTCACACTGGGCAGAAAGCCATCGCTTGTCAGGATAATGGAGTGACACGTGGAATGGCTTACCAGATTTCAGGGGCGGTACCAAGGGCGTCAATTGGGGGGAGGTGGGAAACGAAGGTCTGCCTTGAGGTCTGCCCCCCCCTCAAGGATCACAACTTTATTTTTTTCTACCAAATTACACCCATATAGGTTTGGTTATAACCTAAAGATTCCCCTCTCGCTTTCCCATCCTTTCCCCCTCAAGGGAAGGCTGAAATGACGGCCTTGGTTGGTAACAGCAATAACATATAAAACTTTCGCTGTT